CTCTAACTCAGAAAGATACATGCATCCCTATGTTCATAACAACACTATTCACAATAGCAAGACATGGAAACAGCTTAAATGCCCTTAAACAGAGGAATGGATATAGAAGATGTGGTACGTATACACAATGGCATACTACTCAGCCATGAAAAAAGAATGAAATAATGCCATTTGTGGCAACATGGATGGACCTAGAGATTATCACATTAAGTGAAGTAAGTCAGAAAGAAAAAGACAAATACCATATGAAATGTCACTTATATGTGGAATCTAAAGTATGGCACAAGTTAACTTGTGTACAAAACAGAAACTGACTTGGACGCAGAGAACATACTTGTGGTTGCCAAGGGAGAGCGGAGGGAAAGCAGATGCAAACTATTATATAGGATGGATAAACAAGGTCCTACTGTTTAGCATAGGGAACTATATTCTATATCCCATAATAAACCAAAATGGAAACGATTATGAAAAAATAAACACATAAAAAATAAAAACTGAATGTTTAAAAAAATGAATAAAGCTGCTATTAACATTATTGCATAGGTTTTTATATAAACAAAAGTTTTTATTTTCCATGTGTGAGTACTAGGAATAGGGTTGCTGGGTCATATGGTAAGTTTATGTTTAATTATAAGAAGCTGCCAAGCTGTTGTCCGCAGCGGCTTTAACATTTTTCTGTTGCCACCAGCAATACATGAGAGTTCTAGTTTTTCCACCACCTCACCAGAGCTTAATATGGTCTGTTGTTGTTCGCTTGTTTTAGACCTCCTATATGCCTAGATGGCTAACAGTGTTTTGATGTGGTTTGTCTTTTGGTCGTGCAGGATCTTAGTTCTTTGACCAGGATTGAACCTAGGCCCTTGGCAATGAAAGTGTGCAGTCCGAACCACTGGACTGCCAGGGAATTCCCTTGATTGTGGTTTTAATTTGTGTTTTCCTGATACCTGATAATGTTGAGCATCTTTTCATGTGTTTGTTTGCCATCCATATATCTTCTTTGGCTTGGTATCTGTTCCCATTGTTTACCATTTTAAAAGTTGAGTTGTTTGTTTTCTTACTGTTAAGTTTCAAAGGTTTTTCTTCTTTTTTTTTTTTTAAGGTTTTTCTTAAAAAAAAAAAAAATTCTGGATACAAGACCTTTCTCAGACACATGATTTGCAAATATAATCTTCTGGATTATAATTTTCCTAGCAGTGTCTTTTGCAAGAGTAAAAGTTTTCAATTTTGATGATATCCAGTTTATCAATTTTCTTTTAAATGGATTTGGATTCCTGCGTGGTATCTAAGAAATCTTTGCTTCACCCAGTGTCACAAAGATTTTCTCCAAGAAATTTTTCTGTTTTTACATTTTAGAACAGAGGTCGGCACACTTTTTCTGTAAAGAGCCAGATGGTAAATATTTTCTGCTTTTTGGACCATATGGTCTCTGTCACAGCTACTCAACTCTGTCACTGGAGTGCAAAAACAGCCATAGACAGAACATAAACAAATGAGAGTAGCTGTGTGCCAATAAAACTTTATTTATAAAAACAGGCTGTGGTCTGAACAAATTTGGCCCATGGGCCATGGTTTGCCAACCACTGACTTAGAAAGCAAACTTTTTGCCAGGCATTGAGGACAGCCCACTCTGGTAATTACTGCCCGGTTTATTATCTGTGAAATCGGTGTGAGAGAAAAGGCAGAAGAGTAAAACAAAAGTGAAGAGAGAGGGGGATAAAGGAAAAAAGGGGGAAGGAGGAAGAAAAAGATTTGAATCACGTTTTGAGCAAACTTCAGCATGCATTTTAATTCTTTAGTTAATCCTACTTTGGTTCAGGCTTCAGCCAGTGTTTTTGTTTGTTTCTGAGCTAGTGATCTTAAAATCTCATGGCCATAGACAGTTTAACAGGTTTATGGAGTTTTTCCTGATCAAATCTGTTAATGCCATGCTTTTTACTGAAAATGGTATTTATTTAACCATCTCCCATTAATACATATTAATGTTTTGTTTTGTTTTGTTTGGCTTCGAGGCATGTGGGATCTTAGTTCCCTAATCAGGGATCAAACCTGGGTCCCCTGTGGAGTTTTAACCACTGGACCTCCAGGGAAGTCTCTTAATACAGATTTAGATTATATCCAGTGTTTTACCAGCCTTGGGGTCAGCATGTTCCTTGAACATATTTCCCTGCACTTATGTGATTATTTCTGTAGAGCAGTTTTCTGCAGTTCTAAGTCAGAGGGTAGCATTCACATTCAACATTTTGATAGGCTTGCCATGTTGTCTTTCCAAAAGGCTGCACTTTGCACATGCATATCGGTGGTGTGTAAGGGCGTTTAAGAAAAGGTGGGGGAGGGGTATGTTTTTTCCTTCACTTATCCTTACACTGGGTTTTATCCATCCTGGATTGTAGTCCCTCTGACTGACACAAAGTAGCATCTCCTTTTATTTTGCATTTTCCTCATTGTTTTTGAACTTGAGCCTCTTTTCATGCCTTATTGGCTGTTTAACTGCCAGCATCTATTAGTTTCAGCTCATATTCTTGGTTCATTTCTCTGTTAGTGATATGTTGGCTTTTTTCGTATTAATTTGTAGATGCCTCGAATCAATTTTTTCTCAGTGTCAGCAGTACTGACACTTAGGTTAGATAATTCCTGGTTGTGAGAGCTGTCTTGTCCTATGCCTTATGGAGTGTTTAGTAGCATCCCTGGCCTCTAACCACTAGGTGCCAGTGGCACAAGGCTCTCCCATCCTGATAGCCAGCAGTGCCCCCAGATACTGCCCAGTGACCCATGGAGGAGGGGGCAAAATCACCCAAGGTGAGAACCCAGCTCTAAGTGAGATAATAAGGAGCTGACACTTTCTCCCTGTCAGCCTGCTGCTTGCCTGTGATGTCTTTGCCGTCCAGGAGTTTCTAACCTTGTGAAGTCTCCCTTTCCAATCTTTTCTTTTATGACTGTTGATGCCAGACTGCTTTTTAAAGAGCAGGAAGCATAGACCATTTTCAAAAAATAAATACTAGGAGACTGGACTGATTTTGCATGTTGTGTATGGTCTGAAGCAAGTGAGAGCTGGAAGGTAGAGAAGACCTGAATGTCTCCCCCAGGAAACTCAGAACCAGCCCTGATTCCTCTCTCCGTGTTGGTATGGGGCAGGCGGGAAATCCTGTGCAGGAGATGTGCGCTGGTTTTTATATAACCGCTGGCAAGACTATTTTTAGAGGAGGCAAAATGCTCTAGACACTGGGCACTGGGTTTTGAAGCATAAAGTCAGAACTGGGCAGTAAGAATCTGGAGAAAGGGTTGGGCTGCCCTGGAGACCTCCCGACTAGTGGGCAGCAGGGCCTTTATCTCAGTGATGACTTTCAGCTCCATAGAGATGCCTGCTTCTTTAGAGCCAAGGACACGGGACTTTACAGCAGTGCCTGTGAGCAAAACGTCAAGTGAGTGGTGCTTCCAGAAAAGCAGTCTTGAGCTGACTTTCCTCCAAAGTCATCACTGTGCCCTGCTGGTGTTGCTGAAAGTCAGGATTTCTGTAGGCAGCTTAAGGCGTCAGAGCCTGCCAGCTTTGGAGACAAAGGTCCCCTAACTGGTAGAGAAATCGTAACCTCTTTCCTAGCTCAGTCACTCTGTCTTGGGAGGAAGGCAGTGCAGAGGCCCTCTGCCTGCTGGCCGGAGGACAGACAGGGTGTCTGGGTGGGCTGCCCCGGCGCTCGTCACAGGCTCCTGCCTGTACAGCTACATCAGTAGTGCACATGGAGACCGGACAAAGCAATCCAAGATCTTTGGAGTGTTCTCAAGACACCCCAAACACTTTTCCCAGAGGCTCCAATTGTGGTACTGGAATTGTTTGAGGGTTTGCTTCTTTAAAGCCCTCTTATTAAGTGGAAATGATTAAACTTGGACTAGTTCTGGTTTTGTTTCAGTAGACTTTATTTTTAGAGCAGTTTTAGGTTCATTGTGACGAGAGTCCAGAGTGAATTCCCCTATACTCTTCTGCAGGCACAGTTTCCCTCCCCTATTACTAAATCTTGCCTTAGTGTGGTATTTTGTTGTAATAGATGAACCCATGTTGTTACCTAACTAAAGCCCAGGGTTTGCCTTAGAGTTCACTCTTAAAAAATCTTATTTATTTTTGGTTGTGCTGGGTCTTCATCGCTGCATGTGGACTTTCTCTAGTTGCAGTGAACAGGGGCTATTCTTAATTGCAGTGCATGAGCTTCTCATTGCAGTGGCTTCTCTTGTTGCAGAGAACAGGCTCTAGGCCCACGGGCTTCAGTAGTTGCAGCTCATGGGCTCTAGAGCGTGGGCTCAGTAGTTGTGGTACACAGGCTTACCTGCTCCACAGCATGTGGGATCTTCCTAGACCAGGGATCAAACCCATGTCCCCTGCATTGGCAGGCAAATTCTTATCCACAGTGCCACCGGAGAAGTCCTAGACATCAGTCTTCACTTTAAACGTTCTGTGGGTTTGGTCAAATGTATGGTGACATGTATCCACCCATTATACCCTCATACAGGATAGCGTCGCTACTCTAAAAACCCCTGGGCCCCACCTGTTCGCTCCCCTTTTCCTGAAACTCTTGATCTTGCAGTCTCTCTAGTTTTGCCTTTTCCGCAGTGTCACATACTGGAGACCCTCTGGTATGTAGCTTTTCAAGCACCTCCATTCAGCAGTGTGCATGTGAGGCTCCTCCGTGTCTTTGTGGCTTCCTGGCTTCTGTCTTCTTGGCACTGAATAACCTTCCATTGTGTGTGTGTTACCAGATGACTGGCGTGTGTTTCTCTATTAGCTCACTGAAGGGCATCTTGGCTGCCTGCAGTCTGGGGGCGGTTACGAATAAAGCTGCTATAAACATCTACATGCGGGTTTTTGCGTGGACATAAGATGAACTTGTAACATTGAAAAGAAAAATGTCTTAAGTGCAAACACAGTCATGAGCATTGCCTTGATACCCTACAGTGGGTACGTTTGGAATTTACTTCATTTTTTCTCCCCCTGCAGATTTTTTTTAAAAAATACAATGTCTAATGGTTATGAAGACCACATGGCCGAAGACTGCAGGGACGACATCGGGAGAACAAATCTGATCGTCAACTACCTCCCTCAGAACATGACCCAGGATGAGCTACGAAGTCTGTTCAGCAGTATTGGTGAAGTGGAATCTGCAAAACTTATTCGGGATAAGGTGGCAGGTAAAGAAACAGAGCCATTTTTGTGTGTGTTGGGCGGGGGGACGGTATGTGGGGCCATCCCACAAAGCCCTGCTTCTTAGCCAGGAAGTTTCATTTTTATCTCAACTCTGTTTTGATCCCACCCTGGTGTAAGATTGGCTATAGGTTCCCAAAGGAGGAAAAATCCATCCTAAGATGGAGAATATGTACAAAATAAGACAGTGGGAGGGAGGGAAGATGAGGAGACAGGAAGGAAAAACAAGGATGCTGTGAGAGCTGGAAGGGGCATTGGTCCCAGCTGTAGAGGGACCCTAGCCAGTGTCCTGCCTGGGGCAGGCCCAGCCCCTCTTCTCAGGCGGTGCATAAAAGGTCAGACCTTCCGCAGAGCGCTGAGTCAGTCCCGTATGGACAGCCCTTCGTTAGATTTGGGCCACCCTGACTGTCTGTTCTCGTGGTGTCAACTTGAACATCTGAAACTGAGCTTGAACTCTCATGGGGGCTGGAGCAGGGGAGCAGAGCATCACGGGTGGGCCATGGGTTTGGCAGGCAGGCAGGCGCAAAGCTCCACCCTCCCACAGCGCCTCAGTGTCCGCATCCACGAACTGGGGGTGGTGGCGCCTGCCTTCCTCATGATGCTGCCTACCTCCTAAGGGTTTGCAGAAGGCCAGTCCCTGGTAAGGCCCTCCGTAAGGAGGCCTCTGTTCTGAGAGCGAGGTTGCAAGAGTTCTAGAGAGAAATGTGAAGAGACCTGGGGCTGTGACGCACTTCCTTTCTTTCATCCCCAGGGAGGTGCATTTTAGGGAGCCCTCCTTTACCTCCCCGCCCCCTCCTCCCTCCTCCTCCTCGTCTCTGCCCAGCTCTTCTGACGGATGGCCAGTCCTCTCAGCAGTGCTCTAGCTCCCACCCTGGCTTGTAAAATCTTGATTCCCTACACTGAAAAATAATTTCAAAGTCAAGAGTCATGTTTATTATGGAAATATATTGGGTTGGGCAAAGAGTTCGTTCGAGTTTCTTTGTAGTATCATTTGGAAAAACCCGAACTTTTTGGCCAACCCAAGATTTCAGTTTACATTAGAGTAATACTATTGGACCCCATGTACCCATTGTCCTGTTTCATCAACTCTCAGCATTTGCCAGTAACTCTTAAGATGCCTCTCCCCAAGGTGAGTCTCGTAGAGGCTGGCTGACCATAGTACAGGGAGTTAGTTCATCAGAGAAGGATTTTGGTTTTTCGTTTTTAAAACAAGATTTTGTTTTGTTTTTATTTGATTGTTTATTTGGCTGTACTGGGTCTTAGTTGCAGCATGTGAGATCTCAGTTCCCTGACCAGGGATTGAATCCAGGCCCCTGCACTGGGAGCTTGGAGTCTCAGCCAGTGGGTCAGCAGGGAAGTCCCAGAGAGGGGACTTTGAACTCAAAGTCCTTTAACGACCCTCCCAATTCTGAGTGTCTGCAATTTATTACATATCTTCAAAATAGGGGCTTTAGATAATATACAAAATTGAACAGTGTTGGAATGTTCTAGAAATTCCTCTCTCTCTCCAGTTCCAGAAGACCATCCTGAATAAGAATTCTTGTTCAGAGAGGTTTTGAAATTCTTCTGCACAGCTACTGAGTCTTGCCTTTCTTCTGTTGTGTTCTGGCAGAAGGAAATTTTCAGTCCCGGCAATATTCCTGACTCCTCTATCTTTTGGCTTGTTGCATTTTTCAAAGGCATTAGAGCCATGTAAATAGGAACACCTGGATTTGGTGAGATGAGTCCGGAGAGAACTGGTTTTCTCTGGTGAGAAAGAACCAGTGAAATCACCACAGGCATGATTTGGAAATTATTTTGGTTCAGAAATAAAGATTTTCTGCTCTCTGGGCAACCTTGAGTGTAATGCATCGGGAGTGGTGGAGTAGATGAGCCTGGGTTGATATTTCAGCTCTGCATCTCACATCTTATAGTTCTTCATTTAAAAAATACATACATACATACATACATACATACATACATACATACATACATACATACATACATACATACATACATATTTATTTATTTATTTATTTATTATTTGGTTGCTCCAGGTTTTAGTTGCAGTATGTGGGATCTAGTTCCCTGACCAGGGATCGAACCTGGGCCTACTGCATTAGGAGCGCAGAGTTTTAGCCCCTGGACCAGGAAAGTCCTTGCTACTGTTGTTGTTTAGTCTCTCAGTCGTGTGGACTCTTTGCAACCCCATGGACTGTAGCCCGCCAGGCTCCTCTGTCCATGGGATTCTCCAGGCAAAATACTAGAGTGGGTTGCCATTTCCTTCTTCAGGGGATCTTACCAACCCAGGGACTGAACCTAAGTCTCCTGCATTGGCAGACAGATTCTTTACCGCTGAGCCACCTGGGAAACCGCAATCCTTGCTAGTAGTTCTTTAAATTGAATGAACTTTTATAGAAGACTTACCTTGTTCACTTTTCTCCTCTTGCCACCAGTGTGTGATCACTTCTTCAAGGCTGGTTCTGGCCCAGGGCCTCACCTCTCACTCCATGTTGTCCTTTAGTGCATTCCTCTGGTGAAGCCCTTGGTTACCTTTCTCAGCCTGCTTTCTCCCAGCCTGGCTCAGGTACCCACCCCAGCAAGACTCTTGTATCGTGGCGGACAGGCACCTTGTCCAATCAGACCTCAGCCGAGCTTGCAACAGGGACATCCTCATGCCCCACATTAGCCATTTCAGCACATACTCTCCTCTCAGGCCCCAATTCCTCTCGCATAATAGCCATTTCACCTCTGTCCTAGATCCCTTCCCATCTTAGCATGCAAAGAACCTCAAGTTATGCAAGTACCTACTTTTCTGGGTCTTTCCAGGATCTGCCACCAGCATTCAAACACATTCCAGTCTGCTGTCCTTGCTTGATGCCCGGACCCCCTCTAGTTCAGGACTTTTCCACTTGACATTTGAAACTGGGTAACTCTTGAGGGAGGGCCATCCTGTAGGTTGCTTCCCTAGCCTCTGCCTTGTAGATGCTGGGGGCACCTTCTAAGTTGTGAAAACCAGAAGAGGTCCCCAGAAGTGCAGAATAGCCCCCAGGTGAGAAGCTCCTCTGGCTGACGTCCACCCTCTGCTGTTCATGGAGCCGTCTCCTTTGTCTCTTCCTTATGAAAGGAAACTTCCTCTTCCCTCAGATTCGTGAGCCTGGCTTTGTGCTCCCTCTGAGGCTCCCCCCTTTCTGTCTCTCTTGCACCTCTTCCCAGCTGTTAACCTGTGCAGTCCTTGACTTATTCCTTAGCCTTCTTTTCTTCCTAGGCCAACACTAGGGTGAGTGGATGCACCTCTAAGCTTAGCCTGACATTCAGCTGTGCCACCTCTCTTGCAACCAGAAATTCTCCCAAGCTCCAGGGCCTTCAGCCTCTCAGTGTTTCCCAGACTGACCTTGAGTCTCCCACAAGCCAACTGCTTGTTTCCCAGGTTTCCATCTTAGCAGATGGCAACACTGTCCACTCAGGGGCTCCAGTCAGAAATCCAAGCATGACCTTTGACCTGTGTCCCTGAATGTTTCTGTCCCTTTTCCCCCATCCCTCCTGCCACCACTTTAGAGCAGGCCACATCGTCTTCTGCCTGCCCTACTGCTTTAGGCTCTCAACTGGCCTTCCGTGCTCCCTCCAGACCATCTTCCTAACTGTGACAGTGGAACCTCTAGCACCCCTAATGTGTCCTGTCACTCACCTGGGCCCATTTGCTCTGGGATGTCTTTCCTGGCCCGATATAGTCGACGATAGAGGCTCCTCTGGGTCTCCGTGGCAATCAGCCAGCATGGGTTTCCACAAGGCCCTGAACTTGGAACTTGCTCGTCCAGTAGGTCCTTATGGTTCTCAGAGGTAGGGACCCTCTGGTATCCCCAGATGTGACATAATCAGTTTCTGTGGAGTGAATGAATGACTGAGTGGGCCTAGGGCTGGGGGAGAATGCAGATCGGCATGGACAGTCATTCATTCAGCAAGCCTCTTATGAGTGCCAACCCGGGGCCAGGCACTGGTTGTGGGAGGCAGTGGGACAAGATGGTGGCTGGATGTGGGGATGGATGTTCAGTGTGCTGGCCTCGAGATACAGAGTGTTTCTGACCAGCCGGGCCCCACTGGTTTTGTTGCTGCCTGTTCCATCCACAGTCACTACCTGGCCTTACTGTGCAGCCTGCTTTGCTCTCTGTCCTGGTGTCTAAGCCCGTCTGCAGATGTCACGTGGCCCACAGGGCACCATTACCAGTCTGCACCCTCCTGGACCGTGTCATACTGGTCACTGGTCCATAGCCTTTAGCCTCCTCACTCAACTTCTGTCTCATTGGCTTGCACTTCTGGTCAGGATAAAGCCCCCATCCCAGCCTGCGTTCCCAAGTCTTCTTGAGACCCATCACCCCTAGCCACTGTACCCCACACTCACCCTTGTCTTGTGCTGGATGTACTGCTTGTCATCTCCCAGACACACCCTCCTGTCACGCTCCTGTGACTTCACCAGTACTGCTCCCTCCGCAAAGATACCCTTCCACACCCATCCAGCTGACCACTTTTTTTCTTAATACAAATCATCTCTCTCCTTATAGAAAAAAAGTTTAACACGAGACAAACAGGAAGAAAAGTTTAAATTACCTATAATTCCACCAGTGTTAGCTTTTTGGCTCATGTCTGTCCATAGTTTTTTCTTTATATATTTATGGTTGTAAGCAGTCATGTGCTTTTACAAAAATGGGCTTGCATCTCCCAAGCTGTCTCTTCCTCCTCTATCTGTGAACATCTCTTACTGACACTGGACTTAAGCTGTTTCATGGTCACAGTGGTTACAGGCTATTCTGAGTTTATGACAGGTTGTAACTGCTTTTCCATAGCTACAAGCCCCACTGAAGTTAATACCCTGGCACAAATCTTGGCTCACCAGTTATTTCTGTAGGCAATCTTCCTAGAAGTGAACCCACAGAGGGGAGAACGGGTACTATCTAGAAGCTGTTGACCCGTATTGCTAGCTGGCCCTCCAGGGGCTTTCCGGTTCACATGCCCTCTGCTTGGCCCTGGCATACTTGAGGCCGAGCAGGGTTTCTCACCTCTTCTCTTAAGTGAAAAATGACATCTGAGTGTGGTGATAGTCTGCATTTCTTGTGAAGTATATCTGTTCTGGCTGTTTATACTCTTCTTTTATGTAAGAACTCTTTTTGTCCTTTGCTCATCTTCTTTCCTTTGGGGACATTTGCTGTTTCTTATTTATCGCCTAATTAGTTCACTCATTCCCCTCCCCAGGACACAGTCTCTCCCTCAGTGATGTCGTCCCTTGAGCCCCTGTGGGCCTTTAGAGAAAGGACTCGACTGCACCCCAGCCTCACGTTGCAAAGGAGTGCCCTGTCCACGGGGCACTCGCCTTCCTCAGCTGGGCTCCCCAGGTCAGCCTGAGGAACACTGAGGGGTTAAAACATGACGTCTGGCTGCTCTGATCTGCGGAAGCAAGGTGATATGCCATGGAATTGTCTCATAGTCTTAACCCTTGTCTAAAAAAAGAGAGGAAGACATTTGGAAACATGAAGGTCCTGGCCCAGGGGTCGCGCAGCCTGGCATGTGAGCGCTCTGCATGGAGGCGGCGTTGCTTTCTCCAGGGCAGTGGCTCTCGGCCAGGCCCTGAGCATTAGCAGTACCTGGGGACCAGGAGAAACATGTCTGAGGCCCCACCAAGATCCACCAAGTCAGCCAGTTGGGGTGTTTGAGCCTTTCTGGAGGGGGCAGTGCTGGTACTGGGCAGAGTCAGAGCCCCAGATGAGGGGTGCTGGCCTCACACACCCCTCCACTAGGCCCAGGGTTTATTCATCCTCCGTCCCATCCTTCTTTCCCTCCTCTCGTGCCTTTCCCTTTTCCACTAGACTCCACCCTGGGCTCTGGTGGCCCCCACCCTGACTCTGGCAGGCTTCAGCCTCCTTAAGCCCAGCAGCCTGTGCAGGATCCATGCCCTGACCACACTCGCCCCAGAGTACCCCCGCTCGCCTACCAGACCTCAGCCTGCTTGTTCAGGGTTGGTCTTCCATCGCCCCTCAAGGGGTGCCACTGACCTGCCTTCAAGGCACTGACTCCAGTGGCCTCCTGGCCTCTAGGTCACTGGAAAGTCATCTGTAAGGAGCTTGGAAGTGGGAATCCCCACCCTGCCCCACATCCTGGATTCTGGACTGAGGAGCACCCTAGGGAGCTGCGTCATTTCCCCAGGTGGCTGGCGGACCCTGTTAGAGAAACGGTAACTTGGGAAGTGAGGGCCTTCCCCCAGCCGCCTGCTCTGAGCACAGCCTCTCAAGTCTGGCTCTTCTGCATAACTGGCCCGCTCCCTTCATGCGCTGCCAGCGGCAGTTCTCAACCTGGGCTCGGCAGCAGAGTCCTTGAGGGGCTCTACAAACCGCCAAAGCGGTGCCCGCTCCTGCCTCCCCACCCCCCTGTCACGTCCTTGGTCCGGGATGTGGCCTGAGCGATGATGGTTTGTAGCAGCTGTCCTGCTGATTGTAACAAGCGGCCGGAGTTGAGAGCAGTTGGGTTATGGTGAGGGAAAGGGTGGATGGAGGTGGGCGTTCACCACTGTTGACACTTTAGTCTCTGGCCTTACCCAGTGGGCAGAACCATGGCTCCCCTTCATTCCTCATCCACCTCCCTCTTGGTGCACACAGGTACCCACCAGAGAGGAGAGCAGACTAGGGGACAGAGCCAGTCCCAGCCCGGGAGTGCTGGTGCTTTAGGGACCTTGGCCAGCAGTGCTTCCTCCCCATCAGCCCATCGGCAAGTCCGCCTGGTGGCTCTCCCTCCCGCCTGCTCTGCTAGGGTCCTCATCTCACACCTGGTCTGGCTCGTGGGTTCCTGTGGCCTCTGCACTGGCCTCAGCCCTGCTGCTGCTGTGGTCCACCCAGCGGCCGCCTCCAGGCCAGGCCCTTAGCTCGTTGCGTTCAGCCACCGGCCGCCTTTTGTTTCCTGAAGCACTCCAGAGTCGTCTGTGCCACAGAAGCTTGGTGCTTGCGCTTCTGCCAGAGTGCGCGCCTCCAGCCACCCCGAGGGCTTGCTTCTCACGTCCCCTCCTCAGGGGACACTCTTGACCACCTGTCTCCCCTGGGCCCGCCCTGTCCATCCTCTCCCTCCACCATGGAGGGTCCCCTGTTAGCACCTGAGTGTAGCTTTGTCAGCTTCTTGCTCCTTTGTTGCCTGACTCGCTCAGTGGGATGTGAATTTCATTATGGCAGGAGCTGTCCTTGGTGATGATCGTTAACCCCCTGGCCAGCCTGGCACGCAGCCCAACACACAATGGGTGTTCAGTTAGTACACATGGGCTTGTTGAGGAAGAGTGGAGGGGGGCAGGGTGGAGAAGGAGCCAGTGGCCATTGTCAAAGTGTGTGACTTCCTAGGTGACATTATTGGCTGTGGCCACATGGTGGTCAAGGAGGTCACCCAGGAAGTGTGGATGACAGAGACAAGGGCCAAAGGTAGAGCCTTATGGGCCATCTTGATGGAGTGGACAGAGGATGAGGAGCCTGGGGAGGGTCAGTTGGCGTTGCAGTCACGTTCTGGAGGAGGTGGCACCTCGGGCGGGTTGGCAGTGCCCAATGCCACTGAGGGCTTCCGGAACTGTGTCCTAAAACTCTCTGTGGGCACAGCCTGAGGGCCAGTTGGTGTTGGTATGGCCAGCCAAGGTGGAAGGGCAGGGAGGGATCAGCACCTGAGGGTAGGGGGTCCCTGTCCAGACACCAGAAGGAACCAGCTGCAGCAGAAGGCGCGGGAACACGGCCTGGCACCAGAAGTGGCCCAGCCTTGGGATTGGCCTTGTGGGAGGGGCAGGAACATGAGACGACAGAGAAAAGCGAAGAAGATGGCCCGGACAGAGCAGGAGAAAGTGGCCCTTGCAGAATCGCCAGTAGTTTGGGTAGCTTCTCTGCCCTGAAGTGGGGAGGGCGTGACTCCACAGAGCACTCAGTGTCAGGCTGCACATGGAGAGACTGGTGAGACCGGGGTCAAGGCCAGCATCAACCAGGATGAGCCCTGTGGACAGCGTGCACCCCAGAACGATGGCATGAGAAGGGCTCTTCACTCTGTGGCCTTCTCCTAAAAGCCCATCATAACCCCATTCTGACCACAGGAGAACTTCCGACAAACCCAGGCTGATGGAGAGTCTGCAAAATTTCTAGACCAGTCCTCATAGCTGTCACGGTCATCTAAAACAAGGAGGGTGTGAGAAACTGTCCCCGCCAAGAAGAGCCTAAGGAGAACTGGCAGCGCAGTGTCATGGGGGACCCTGGGTGGTGTCCTGGGACAGAAAAGGACATTAGAGGAAAATTGGGGCGGTCTGGCTCAGATGTGGACACCAGTACCAATTCACTAATGTAACAAGTATACCATCCGAAGATGAGATGTTACTGATAGGAAAAGTGGGTGTGGGGTTTGTGGGAACGCTGCATGATCTTTGTAATTTTTCTTTAAATCTAAAAAATAAAGTATTTTTGTTTGTTTGTTTCAAGGTGACAGCAGTGGGTTAGGCTCTCCCCAGGTCTCATTAATGGCAAGATGAGCCTGGGTTCAGCTGGTGAAGTGGGCAGAGCCAGCTCATCTGCTGTGCGGATCTCTGCCTGCTGGTGGCTCACGCCTTGTGTTTTAATCATCCAGTAGGCATGTGTGTGTACAGGAGTTGGGGAGAGCAGTCGTCTCTCACGCTCACCCACTGTCTGCTGAGAGCAGTGGCCGGTACACGGGGTGTGCCTGCTGACGTGGCGCAGGGAGGGGTAAGATGCGGGCTTAGTGGCCGTTCTCTTCTCCAGGCCTCCTCCTGCTCCTCCGTAGGGACAGCGTGCGGTTCCTTCCACTCTGACCGTCACCCATTGCTTCTCTCGGGGTCTCCTAGAGGCCCACAGCCCCTCCCCTGCCATGCCGGGCCCCTCCTGCGCATCCAGTTGGTGGTCACCCCACCATTCTCAGTGGTTACCTGAGAGGGAGTGCGACACCCTGCCTATAATGCTGGATTTCTTTGGGAAGAGCTGAGGCTTGCGCTGGCCTTATGGTGCCCCTGGGCATTGGCTGATGATGCTGTCACCGTAGGAGGTGCTGCCAAGGGGGCCTCTGGTGGCCAGGCTGCCCTCAGCGCTGGTTGTCCCTGGAGTCCCACCTCCCCAGCTGGACTTTCAGTTCAGGAAACTGAAGGGAACCGACACTGGGGGGCGCCAGAGCCCAGCAGACCTTCCCACTCCAGCACAGCAGGGGCGGAAAGCAGCCTGGACACTGACATCTGCTCATCGGCAGGTTCTCCCCACCCGCCTGTCCTGTCTGCTGCCGTGACTGTCCTCCTCCCCACCCCGCATCCCAGGTCCCCCCCACTGGGAGCTGCACAGAGCAGCCAACACCAGGGGAACAGGTCCTCGGCCCTGTGGTGATGGGCTCCCCGGGATGCTCAATTACAAAAGTCACATTTTATTGGTTTGTTCTTTGCAGAAAATGTGCAAGTTTGCCAAGGTGGTGTCACGAATAAACCATCAGTATAGACTATAACCATTGACCTCTAACCCCTCCTTCCCAGAAGCCTTGGCTCTTAGCTCTTGTGTTTTCTCGGTCATCTTCTCAATGGTCTTGTCCTTTTGAGCTCAGCCAGATGCAGCCCTGTCCATCCTCCCCATGTCTCTCTCCCCTCCTTTGTCCCCTACCCCTCGCTGGCTGGCTGGCTCCCAGCAGCTCACTGATGTGCACATGTTCTCCACACAGGACACAGCTTGGGCTACGGCTTTGTGAACTACGTGACTGCCAAGGATGCAGAGAGAGCGATAAACACACTGAATGGCCTGCGGCTCCAGTCAAAAACCATTAAGGTAAAGAGCTGCGAACACCATCTCAGTGGTTCCTGGCTACATAGACGTCTGTGCTGAGCCCTGGCCTTAGTGAAAGACTCAACCTTTTATCTCCCCATCACTGTCTTGGCACCATTAGCACAGTTGCCCCTCAGAGCCCGGGCACTTCTGGGGCATCTCCTGTTGGCTGGTGTGAGACTCGTATCGGGTGGTGACTGTCCCAGCCCTTGTGCCTCTGGCTTCTCAGCCCCACCTGCAAAGGGAGGATCCCTGGAAAGGACTGGCACGGGGACTGCCCCTCCCCGGCCCCGGTGTCCCTGGTGTGTTGGCTCACAGCAGCCTCCTGGTGTGAAGACCTCCCCGCCGGTCTCCCCTGCTGGCCCAGCACTACTGTCCTCCTGCCAAGCAGGCATCACGTTCCCACTTGCACCTGGTTGTTGCTGCGGCGGCGACAGCACTGTCCTTCGGCTCCCTGCCCAGGCTCCCCTTCCAGCCCCGTTCCAGCAGTTATGGTCCTCTTCTTACCAGTGCACTCAGCAGTCACTGGGCAGACGTGTAGGAGTTGCCCACTGTGGGCCACTCAGTGAACAAAACCATTCCCACGCCCTTGTAGAGCAGGCTGGCTCTCTGTGAGGTGCACACGGATGATAAATATGATACCAGGTGTGGCCAGGGTAGGTGTCACGAGGTGTGTCCTGGGGGCGCTGCGTCCTCTGGGGGGCTTCTGGATGACTTGAGGTAACTTGAGGGAAGGGAGAGAGCCGTGCAGCACGATGGGGTGGCCTGGGCAGACTGTCAGTAGCGTCATTCCCTAATCAGGGGCTGAGGTGGGTTCCTGGGATGAGTTGGCAAGTCCTCCAGGCCTCACAGGACAGACTGCCCCACCTTCGTGCTTCTCTCAACTGCCATCACTGACCATGCCCTCCTTTTCTCAGTCTCACTCCTCCCCACTCCCAGGTGTTTGTCATCAGGCTCTGTCCACCTCTGGACCAGCTTTGGGTTTCCTGACCTTTGCTCCGTGTCCAGCCCTGCTGTAGAACATGCCCCCTCTCCCCACTCCACAAGGGACCCTGGCCAGGCTTCCTGCAGTAGCTCCTCCTGTGCTGTGCCCACCGGCCCTCACCCACAGACCTGGCGAGGCGCTCATGCTGAGACAGGCACCCACCAGAGTCTCCAGAGCATCTCCCTCTACCTGAAGCCCCGTAACAAGGTTGCCCTGTCGAACCTCTGCATCTTCCAGGTCCTCGGGTAGCTCGAGGGGCCAGAAGTCTGAGTGCCCTCTGAGGGCCGTGAGCTGTGTGAGCGGGTCTGCCCCATGCCCCTTCCAGTGCCTGGCAGTCACTGGATCTTGGGCGGTTCTCGGCTTATAGAAGCATCACCCCAGTCTCTGCCTTCATCTTCACATGGGGTTCCCCCTGTGTGCATATCTGTGTCCAGATGTCTCCTTTTTGTAAGGACCCCCCATCATTTATCTGGGGCCATCTTACTCCGCTCTGAACTCATCATCATGAATTGCGTCTATCATGATCCTATTTCTAATGAGGTCACACTATGAGGTCCTGGGGTCAGGACTCCCGACGGGGGAATTTGTGGGAGGACGTAATTCAGAAGTCTTGGGTTCTTCAAAAACCTCTCACAGGAGGGTTTCCCAAGAACAGGACAGTAGACCTGCCAGAGGCAAGGGAACAGGTGGTGCGGGAGCTTAGAAGAGAGGGTTCTGGGCAGAGTGTTGTGGATCCAGTTGGGCGTGCCTGCCACGGGTAGGCAGGCTCTCTGCTGCTGTCTTCTTGGATTCTGACTTGACTCTGAGCTTGACAGTGGCTGGAGAGGACAGGAAGCTGCAGTAGTCATCAGGGTCCCTGGAGACACCAAGGCTGGAAGGAACTGAAGTGCACTTGGCTCTGAAAGCATTTCCTCCCCGGGCTTTATTAGGAGGTGATCATAACCACGGTCAGCGCCTGCCGCCACAGCACTCCCCTGGCACTGCAGTCTGGGAGTGTTCCTTCCCACAGTGTCCTTCACCAAAAGCTGAGGGCAGGCCCCAAATGCAACCTGTTCCAGACAGATCTGCGAAGGGCCAGGCAGGACATCCTGGGGGACAACTCCCTGCTGGCCTGGCCCAACCGCGGGAAAGCACAGGACACCCTGAGTCCCAGCTCCTACCTTCAGCCATCCTGCCTGAAATCTGACACTTCTCACTGGGGTCTTTGGTAAAACCAGACGAAACAGTTGGAGTGACTCTCTGTCAGGAGTTTGAGCGGGGTGTTCTGTGGGGCTGGTTGATGTAGACCCAAAAAGTTAAGGTGCAAACATAAGAGTGGGGCCAACATCCTTCTTGGAAGTTGAGAAGCATGGCCACGCCCACCTGGTGGTCTCTTTCTCTGAGGTCAGTGCTGCTTCTGCCCCAGGTCTTGCCCTAGAGTGTCGCCAAAGTGCCTCAGGCCTGGCTGCAGTGCAGGGACACATCCAGGGAATGCTGGCACTGCTGTTCCACTCTCCCCTCAGGTGGCGCTGGACTCTGACCACACCCTAGTTTCTCCTTTCACCCGCTATCTCTCCCTCTGGGCTGTGTTCTGCTTTCCAGGCAAAGGCAGTGTCTGTCGTCTCCTTTTCTGGAATATTCCAGATGTGCCTCAAATGTGTGAGAGTCAGCGCGTGAACAAAGGGATGTGTGTGGGGGTGTGGTCTCAGCATGTAGACCTGCACCCCTGCCCTTCCTGGCAGGCCTGAGTCTTGTGGTGGGAACACACCTATCGTTTGTGCCCTTGTGCTGCCCAGTGACACCTGAGAGGTCGTGTCCGCTACTGTGTTATATATGGTCTCAGTTTTTTGACCCCCAGGGAAGACGTTCTGCTCGGGTCTAACTGCTCCCCCTTCCAGAGCACATGGTTCTCTGCTTCTTCCTCCTTTGTCCCCCAGCCTCCTCACTTGGTTCTGACTCCCTCAGGTGTGGGGTGTGACAGAGTCCTGTTCCCTCTGCCGAGGGTGGAAGGGCTTTGTCCTGGGGGCTCCTTCCCCGCAGAGGTCTGGCCTTGGCCCCATCCCTCTGTGGCCCACAGGATCTATCCTGCTCTCATCCCAAACTGGAAACACTAAAGACATTTCCTTGCCCCCAGCCTTGCACATAGACACCATTTTATCTAAACTACTTCAAAGTTCCTGTTAGTCTTTCTTCAGTTTTGCAAAACAGAAGCCCCAAAAAGCATGGGGTCATTTAATATTGAGCTCTCACATGTGTGTCCTCACACACGGGGCCCCATCTGGACTCCATGTTGAGCTGGCCTGTTGCCTGATGGGTGTCACACTTCCAGAGCACTCAGCTCTCTCTCCCACCATCCTCTGGGCTGCTCCCAGGTAGGACGATGTCCTTTTCCAGCCCTGCTCTTTGTCCAGAGAGGCCTGAGGCCAAGGTAAGAGGATGGGCAGCCGGGGTTGGTCCCTGCCCTGTGCCCCACACCAGCCATGGACCCCCCAGACTCTCGACTATGAAATAGGAACGACATCTGCATCATCGTGGCACATGAGGGTCCCTGCCCGGCCCGAGGAGGGCTGCCAGCACAGACTGCCACATGTGACCTCCTCCCACAGGGTTGACTTCCCTCATCTGAAGGTGTAACACCTTCCCTGGATGCCTTGGCCATGCACCTGCCCTAACACTAGCAAGCGGTTTTGTTTTCAAGGTGTCATATGCACGCCCAAGCTCCGAAGTCATCAAAGACGCCAACTTATACATCAGCGGGCTCCCAAGGAACATGACCCAGAAGGACGTAGAGGACATGTTCTCTCGGTTTGGGCGGATCATCAACTCGCGAGTCCTTGTGGATCAGACCACAGGTACGGTGCCTGGCCTGGGATACAGTGCACTTTCCTCCAGGCGGGGCTCGATTCTCCTTGGGAAGACAGATGACTGTCCTTAGTTACTCCAGCCATGAGGACAGAATCACAGTGAGAAGACGTTGGCTTTTTCTTAATGAGGCCAGAAAGTTGGGGGAGTGGGGGGTGTTAATGACATAAAAGCCACCCCGACATGAAAGGTGAGGTGCGGCCAGGCTTTTACAGTGAAAACACCAAGAGATCCTGGCACTGTCCACCGGCACTCCCTGTCCGAGCCTGGACTTGAACGTTGCTCTTACTGCAGGCAGCAGGGTGCAGGGTGGGACAGTCTCTACTCCAGGTCCAGAGTCCCCACCTGTCATTGTCCCAGAGCTCTGAGGAGTCATTCTTGAGTCTCCACGACTCAATAACCCCCACCCCAGTAGCACATTCAGAGCTCGAAGTCTGTCCTGGCCACTTCACTACCCTCTCTTGGGTCAGCTGAGCTCAGGACACAAGCAGCTCAGGCTCTGGGCTCTGCACATAGCACTCAGGCCCCACCGAACTGAGCACCACAGGCCCAGAAGCCGCCCCTCAAGGTGGCCACCTGCCCCAGCAGCCTTGGGCCTGGGTCGGGCCGGCCACACACTCGGCTCTGTCAGGGAAGCAGTGAGCTTGGGACATCCGATGTTAGGGCCCTTCAGCTCTGTTCTCTGCAAGAGTGGGAATTTGCTAACCAACTAGAAAGTAAAATCTCTGCTCCCAGAGCTCAGTGAAACTGGTAGACTTGTCTGTGGTCGGTTTTCCTTTTCTTCCAGCACTGAGCGTATTCCCCGCCTCCGTGGCTGAGGTGGTCAAGCACACACTGGTGGTTGGGCTGCAGCAGCTGTGGCTCCGAGGTGACCTCCCCTGGGAGGCTGAAAACAGACACAGAGCAGGCAGGGAGGGTGTCCCGGCTTGTGGCAGATGAGTGGGGTGCATGTTTTCCCGTATCCTCCCTGAGCTGTGTGCTCTGTAGCCCTCAGCCTTCTCCCCCACTCTCCCTCATCCTGTCTCAGCTGGGCATGGGCTGGGGCCCAGCTTGGAGAGGAGCAGACAGCTTGACTCCTCCAGGGCCCCGAGGAGGAGCATGGGCTCCTGGAGTGCAGTCCCCAGGTGCAGATCGCTGGCAGCTCTGGGTACCCCCCCAGGCTGGCACTGACACCCGCTCTGCTATAGGGACATGGACTTCACCCACCTGGCCTCCTTTCTGCCCCTGGCTCTGGGCCGGGATGGGCATGAGGTGACGATGCCATGTGCTTGGTATAAACCCTTGGTCTGCGCCAGACTAGTTCCTGTGGTCCCTGAAGGCACCTCCCTTACCTTCAAGTACCAGTCGATCAAGTGACCCCACGCCTCTATTTACCGTCCTGCGCAGGAGCGTCTGAGTGGGCTGTCAGGGGACCTGGAGCGGGCAGTGATGGTGGCCTGCATCCTGCCTCCATGGCCCTGCTTTCCCCAGTCCTATGTGGACTGCTGGCCTCTGCTCATCTCGGTCCAGCCCAGCGCTGCTGAGAAGGGCCCAGCTCCCACTCTGGAGTCCACGCACCTTGAGAGCACCTCCCCCACCCCGGACCACAGAGCCTGGCCTTTTGTCCCCAAATCCTGAGGGCGGTCACTTCTGTAGGCAGTTCACTCATCCATTTGCTGGAGATTTTGCCCTCTTTCCCTTTGCAAGGCTGCTGTCTCCTAGAGTTCGGGAGACTCTCAGGCCTCCCCACCAGCTTCTGCCACTTCAGTGTGGGCCCCCACCCCACACCCCTGACTGTCTTTAGGAGCTTTGTAAGAAGAGGGTGCAGGAGCCGTGAGGGGCCCCCAGGGGCTCCTCTCCACAGCCCTCCCTTAGGCCGGGGTGTGACACTGGAGAGTAGAAGGGCGAGCCCATGGGACTGTGGGCTCCCCCCCACCCCGCTCTGGAGGGTCCTGCTGCTCAGCTCTCCTCTGCTGGGACCCTGTGGAGCCCAGCAGCCAGGCCAAGAAGGGCACAGAGAGCAAGTCTGCATGACAGGTTTGCTTTCATGTGGCATGTGTTTTAAAGAAACAGAGAAGCACTCAAGAAACCTTAACCTGTAATTAAAAAGAAATGGCCTGAGTAATTAAAAAGAAAAAAACAGATGGTCTGGTTAATTTAAAAAAAAAAATTAAAAAAGAAAAACCATAATTTCCTGAGCTGACAGAAGTTTTTTTAAAAAATTTCTTTGCTTCTTTATACATTGTAATTATGACCTTTATAGTTGGCTCATCTAGAGATGGTGCTGTTTATTGGTCTCTGTTCTTAATCCTAAAAACGCTAGATAGAAAAAAAACTCACCTTTAAAATGTATACTTTCATCCAAGCATTGAGTTTTATATTTCCTCACTTTAAGTAACTTTCTTTCTTTTACTTGGGTATTCTTGCTTTCACTTGGGCAGTTTTCATTTGATAGTCATTTTAGAAAACCAGACAGGGAAGCCACACTTGGACACACACACTGTCTCTGCTTGATTGCAAGGTCTTCATGAATAGAGTGAGATTGTCCCCTGCAGGCAGCTTTCTGTGGGAGCCAGCAGCCGCAGCTTCCAGTGAGATTTGCCTGTGGTTAGATCTCGTTCGGGTTCCCATCTGTCTAAGTCGTCGTTCGTGTCGTTTAAGAGTAAATAAAGAGTGTATGCCAAGTATATGTTTTCAGGTGTTCCTTCTGAACTGAAATTTTAAACTGGGCTCAGGCTCTAGACTGCGCCTGGCACATGTGAATCTCTGGATCTGATCTCACTGACTCAGTGAGCATCTGGCTGTGTCCATTTAAAGTTCATACTTACATAGTCAAGGAGCCATGGTGGGGGAAGCCTTGAGACTGCCAGGGGCTGCTGTGTGGCCTCCCAGGGTGCTGGGCTGGGGGCACCCCCAGGAGGGAGCATTTCCCAGTTGGAAAGTTGGGGTGTGTGCTTTAGGACTTGGCATTCACGGTATGTTACGGTTGTGGCAGAAGAACCCCTGCCCGAAGGCCCCTGACTATTGTCTGCTTGTTTACATGGGGCCCACGGTGTCCCTTCCCAGTCAGGACAGAGCATGGGATTCTATTAACAGGCCCCAAAGGGGCACTTCTGGCAGTAGAACTTGTCATTGACACCCCTGCCTGGTTTGCCTGAGTCCCCCATACCTCTCCTCGGCCCCCACCCTGGGCTCATCCTGGGGACTATCGATGGGACCCTGTGGGACATGGGAGCCTCACTTAGCCGGTGGCCCAGGGCCCTGGGCTCCTGTGCTCTGATAACTGTCGTTCACCACCTGGTCAAGGCCTCGGGACAGCCTGTGACTGGCTGTGGAGAGCGAGAACTTCCAGGGTAGGGCTGTCTGCCACAACTCCTCTCCAGGGTGCTCCTCAGGCGCCCTCAGCTGTCACCTCCACACTGTGACCACCACCTTTGACCCCAGGAGAGAGAGCTGGTTGTCTCCATGGCTCCACATTCCTTCACCCCAGCCCCACCTCATTCCTCCACTTCTTTAAGGGACCGGCCCCTGTCATTCCTCCCAGGCCCAGAATGTGGGCAGAAGGAGGGTAGAAGGTGACTGAGCCCGCTCCCACCTGGTTTGTTCAGGTCTCACCCTCATGCCAGGCTGACCCGGCTCCGCCTTCGGCAGTTGGGCCTGGGACTCAGGCAGCCACGTTCTTGTTCTTTCAAGGGCTGAGGCAGCAGCAGAATCAGGGGCTTGCCTTCCAGAGGTTCTGTCCAGGGAGGCAAGTTAGCTGAAGGCAATGGTGATCGTACCCAAGGCAGGGAGTCTGTGAGTGGGTGTCAGCACCGTTGAGGGCCCTCAGAATCAAGAGAGGCCAGACTCTTCCCAGAAAACTTAGACTGTCCAAGAGGTGCATGAGGTGTTTATGGCAGGAAAGAACCCCCAGGGTGCAGCTGGGTTACTCAGACTCCATGCCCTTCTGGGACTCAGGAGGCTGAGTCAGGCGCTGAGCAAACAGGGATTGGATCAAGCCAGCTGGAAAGGTGACCTGTGAAGGCCTGGCATGGGCATGAGGCCGGATGGCCGGGCAGGCCATGGGAGGGAGCACCCTGGTGCAAGGGAGAGTTCCTTATTGTTCGCCCAGCCCTCAGCATGCCATGCACTAGCACTGTGGCGGGCACCTGGCCTCCACAGTGATGGAGGATAAAACATGGCTTCCTTTTAAAAAAGGTCTGGGGCATCTCTCTGGGATGTTGTGCCAAAGTGTCTTATTGCACAGAGACTATGCATTGTTGCTTCAACTGAGAAGAAAGTTTGAAACCTTAATCTTTTATTAGTCATTGTTTGTTTTAATTTGTTCATGTTTCCATATATAGGTTTAAATTTTGTTTCTCTCATTAGCCAAGCATCCAGTTTAAACTACAGTAGGCTGACTGACTTGACTTTTGCTTTTCAGTTTTAAAACTCCTTGCATTTTTTTCCCCCTAACTCCATTTTTGTTGGTTTGTTAAAAAGGTTTGTCCAGAGGGGTTGCGTTTATCCGGTTTGACAAACGGTCGGAGGCAGAAGAGGCAATTACCAGTTTCAATGGTCATAAACCCCCAGGTTCCTCTGAGCCCATTACAGTGAAGTTCGCAGCCAATCCCAACCAGAACAAAAATGTGGCGCTGCTCTCCCAGCTGTACCACTCACCAGCTAGACGGTTCGGAGGCCCCGTCCACCACCAGGCGCAGAGATTCAGGTGGGTCAGGAGGGTGCGCTCTTCCCACCATGGCCACATGTGCCGCATCCAGCTGCTCGAAGCCTGCTGGGCAGGCACTCCCGGGCTGCGGGAACCGCTGCACACTGGGCTGATCATGTCCTGTCTCTGTGTCCCCTGCCCACCTCAGAGGGTTATCTGTGTGGAGCCGTGTGTTTCCATCTGAGTATGTCTAACGGGAGTAAATAAGTTGGCACAGCTGCAGCTAGCTCCCAGCGCCTGGCGCTGCAGCCTGCAGTTCCTCAGGACAGGCGAGTGGACCACAATATGGAAGAGCATCCAGTATCTGGGGAGGAAGATGTAGCCTGAGCTCACTGGAGGGCTGGTCTCCTTCCACAGTTTTAAACAGGTTTTAGACTTTTGATGAGCAGCCCGAGGGCAAACCTTTCTTGTCCACCTCCTTGTGGAGTCATTTGGTGTCTAAATATTACTAATTCTGCTTTTTAAAAGCCCTGTCCTAGAGGTGAACTGTTTTCCTGCCTTCCTTAGCCTTTCCACATAAAACAGTTCTAGTCGCCAGTATGTAGTAGAGCAGAAACGAGTAGAGCTGGTGACTTGGACTCTGAAATCAGCTGTGTTACCACCTCATGAGCAACAGAGAGGCCCACGAGCTGGCCTGCCTTCGTTGGCTTTTCAGGTTTAAAGGCAAGGTTGGGGAAGTGTGTTTGGACAGAAGTGAGCTTGATCCAGTTTGAAAGTCAGATAGCACAATCAGCCTCACTGCTGATCTGGTGGAGGGTGTAGATAGATGGCCAAGTTCAGGGAGTTACCTGTGAACTCTGGAAAACCAGAGAGCTCAGAGGAGAAGAGAAAGGGAGATGCGAGTGCAGGAGGGGCCAGGCAGGAGAGTGACCATGACCTCCAGGGACAGACAGAAGGAAAGGGAAAAGAGGGAAGGTAAGAATAAGAGGGAGGAAGACCCAGAAGAGGAGAGAGTTTGCAGAAGGGCCCCAGATCTAGGATAGGATGGGTCCGTTTACCTCTGTACATCAGAGGTAAGAATGGGGGCAATTCATGGGAGTTGAGATGAAGTCAGATGTCAGTAGCAGGAGACTCTCAGGAGTGAATGAGAGTGAACTACACTGTCACCGAGATAGCAGTCTCTTACTGTACAGCCTCGGGTCACTTTCAGTTTCATGAACACGTCAAGGTTTAGTGAACCACTGTCATAACTTGGGTCCACATCCTACAAAAGGTAGAGGAAACGAGGTTCATTTAAAAGTCAGCCTCTTTCCAGTTCTCACTGAAAAGCAGCTCACACAGGCTCTTGGGGGCCCTTACCCACCCCCGTTTCAGTGATCCTGTGGTCTCACCACTAACAAGTCGTTTAACCAACTCAGACATTCAGTGCGGCTGTTTAACGTCATTCCTGCAAATTCGAAATCACGGCCCACAGCATGCCTTGATTCTTCATCAGTGGTCACCGTTCTGTCAGTGGGTTGCACCCCAGGGGGCTGGTCACTCTTCTCCAGAGTCTATCAAGGGAGTGAATCTGTTCAGTGGCACTCGAAGGCACCCCGCGCACCCCTGAGTCAGACCGACACCTCAAACCTGATTGTGTTTTGGAGCAGGTAGTATTTCTCCAGTTGCATTGTGGGGCTTCAGAGATGCTGTGTCATGCTCAAGTGTTCTTAAACTGGTCCTCTGACAGTTAACTTTTGTGTTTGTGAAACATCTCGAGGGCCACGTGGCTTCAGGAGCAATTTTGTCATCTTCCTTCATTGTTAACTGCCATGGCCACAATTTGTAGGCTTACGTTTATGTGACTAAAAGGTTTCTTTAGAAAGGGGGCCGCAGGGACTTCCCTGGAAATCCAGTGGCTAAGACTGCCTTCCCAAGGCAGGGGCAATGGATTCGATTCTCTGTCAGGGGACCAAAGTCCCACATGTTATGGGGTGCAGCCAAAAATGTCTTTTAGAAACTGGGTGGTCCCACAGTTTTGGTAGCCTTGGTGGACTTGCAGTCCGTAGCCCTGGCCCTTCTGGGGTGTTATGAGCCAGCAATGGAAGGTTGTCCAGACCTGTGCCCTGCTGCAGTGGCCTTTCATGGGTGTGTACTGTATGCAGACACTGCTTGGCTGTGAACCCTCAGAGAGGGAGGGTCCTGACGAGCTGGGGGGTACAAAATTCAGAGAAAGAAAAGAAGATTCAGCCCTCCCCCACCCCTGGCAAATACACATATATACACAGACATATAGGATAAGGAAGGGTTTCCCCAGGGGGAGCTGGGAGTGTAACAGCACCTAGGAGGATGTGGAGAAGCTCCTATCATTTAAAATGTGGGAAGTACAGGTGTGACTAAACAGGACCCCCCTCTTCCCCCACCCCACAGTGGGAGGGGTGGAGGGAGCGGCTGGTCAGAGGCCACTACAGGCCCCCTCGACGGGGGAAGCAGGTTGAGGCTCTGACCCCCTCCGGACAGCCAGTGTTTCTCCTCAGAGCCCATTCCCTATGGAGCAGGGAGCCTGTGCCCTCCCTCTGACACTATATTGACTTCCGCTCAGTGAAAAACTCTGATGGTGCCCGAGGTGGGGGGGTGCCAGCCCAAGTGCCCCCATGGGCCACGTGTCCATTTCGCGGGCCCACCCTGACCCTGACCTGAACGCTGTGCTCTCTGTTTGCTAGGTTCTCCCCCATGGGTGTAGATCACATGAGTGGGCTTTCTGGTGTCAATGTCCCGGGCAACGCTTCTTCGGGCTGGTGCATCTTCATCTACAACCTGGGCCAGGATGCCGATGAGGGGATCCTCTGGCAGATGTTCGGCCCGTTTGGCGCCGTTACCAATGTGAAAGTGATTCGCGACTTCAACACCAACAAGTGCAAAGGCTTTGGCTTTGTGACCATGACAAACTATGAAGAAGCCGCCATGGCCATAGCAAGTCTGAATGGCTACCGCCTGGGGGACAAAATCTTACAGGTTTCCTTCAAAACCAACAAGTCCCACAAATAACTCGCTTACGCTTTTTTTTTTTTTTTTTGTACGGAATAGATAATTAAGAGTGAAGAAGTTGAAACTTTTTTGTTAGTGTACAACTCATTTTGCGCCAATTTTCACAAGTGTTTGTCTTAGTCTAAATGAGAAGTGAAAAGGTTTTTATACTCTTGGGATGCAGCCGACATGTTCAAATGTTTGAAATCCCACAATGTTAGACCAATTTTAAGTTTCTTAAGTTATTTCCTTTAAAATATATATTAAACAGAAATCTAAATAGACTGCATTGACTAACCAGTCCCTCGGGATGGTGGTGAAACTGAAGCATGCTTTAACTTCCGAGACTGTCTAACACGCGTTTCATTCAATGTCTCCACAAACTGGATAGAAACCAACAAGCAAACAGAAATGATGTTTTAGTTTTAGTTCCTAAAGATGTTAGACAGATGCTGAGTGCGTGTTTTTCTCAACCGCTTCCACATTTTAAGCGATTTCTGCTTCGGTTGACAGGAAATTGCTTTCCCAAGCAGGTCCCATTGCCACCTGCTGCTCACCCAGCCGAGGGGCCCTGGCTGTGGCAGTGGGCCAGTCTGCCGTGGGCCACCAGCGGGAGGGGGACCGCACGCCGGGCCGGGCCAGGCCCTGCGGAGGACACAAGGGGTCTCCTACGCCCAGGCGCCAATGGGAACGGACCAAAGAGTTTCAGGGGAACTCCAGTATATTCCAGAGTCAGATCTCAGCTGCAGGCACGCCTCAAGATGCCTTGCTCCTCCGACACCCCGAATTCCTGTCCACACGTTGCATGCGCAGTGCCCCCACAACAGCGGATTCTGTCGACCCTGTCTTCGCTCCAGTTTCCGAGCGCACTGACCACAGCTGCAATGCGTCAGATAGCTCTATTTTTTAACGACACAGAAACATTTGAGCATTGTATTTCTCGCATCCCTTCTCGTGAGCGCTAGGCTTTTTTCTATTTTAGTCAGGTTTTGTTTTGAAACTTTGCTCTCCTATGAACACTCAACAGAAAAGTACTTACTTCCTGACAGTTACCTATTAACAAAAAACAAACAACAACAAAAAAAACACCCTTTGATTTGTAGTTTTAAAGATTAACCCTCAAAGTTCTCTTCATAACTGCCTTGACGTTTTGGGTTGTTCTGTTAATTTTCTTTTGCTTTTTTGTGTTTTTTGTTTGTTTTTACTTTTGCATTTAAGACCATTAAATTTGATTTTGTTTTGCTCGAATTTTGTTTTGTTTTTTATTTTACCTTTTCTTTCTTTTTGGCTAGGTAAGGTACAGACAGCCCAGCATTCAGGGAGGATTCGTAAAATCTTAAGCAACAAATATACTTGCCTCAAGACAAAGCATTTACGGATCTGTGATGTTAGGATTGTGCCCTCACAGGTGGTGTTTTTTTCCAAACGGGGAGTGGGCAGGGAGAGTCCAAGAGAGGGCCTGAGAGGTAAGCAGGCAGGGCCCCAGTCTCCAGGCAACTCCTCAGGAGCATGATGTGATTTTTTTATAAATAACCAGTGTATGAGAGAATCAAAACCACCATAACTTAGTACCAGCGGTTTTTAACATTGACACGAGAGACTAATAAAGCATGTGAACGATAGGCTGTTTTTAGTTATCGATATCATGAAATCGCGGCATTATTTATTTATTTATTTATTTAAGTGGAAGTCATTGGGCTGTAGGCACAGCCTTCCGCAGTGGGTCAGTGTTCTGAAACCCCCCCCCCCCCCGCCCTCGACCATTTGAGGCTGCCTGTCCCCCCATCCCTTCCCTCATGCTTTACTGAGAGGCTGCCAGCCACTTACCTGAGCCTTCCCAGTTTACCACATGGCCCTCTTCTTACCCCACAGAGGACCAAGTTCATCCCTTGAGGCCTTGTCTCACAAGTTGGCCAAGTGCCACGGAGGGCCTCCTCCCTCCCGTAGAATCTTCTAGATTCTAAGTCCAAGCCAGCTTACGTGCCTCCTGGATCCAAGGCCCATTTGCCTGGATTTGACACAGAGAGGGTCCCCGCTATGTGTACCCCAGAGCACTCCGCACCCCAGGCCCAGGATGCTCTCCTAGAAAAATACACCATGCAAGTCATGCCAGCCTCGGGCTAACATCTTCTCAGAGAAGGTGAGGTTCCCCGTCCTCAGAGTGACCCTTAGGTCTCCTCGCCGACACATTCCTGCCAGCCCACACTGGCGTGCAGTTTCCTATGAGAATTCTGTCAGAGGCCTACACTGCGGAGTGACAGGCTCACAGCCAGCACCGTAGCCCATCCCCTCGTCCCCTCTGTTTTATTGGGATCACATTGGTTTTCCTGATGGTGGCACACATGAGATGGAAACATGAAGCACATGTGGACCTCTGCGAGTTGCCCACAGTATCTTAGTAAATTTATTGTTTTACATGGTCCCCACTCTAAACAGCCTTCTGGCTAAAAATCCTCATGTGTTTCTTTGGGAGTTTTAATTTGCGAGTATGCAGGAGAATACTGCTGTTGACACGTTCTACTTCCAAAAAGTAATCGTCACTGCCACGGAAGTCCCAGATGCTGGCCCCGTGTCCGAAAAGTTCATTACATCTCTAAGCTTGTTTGCAAAAGGAAGACCGCATTTTTTTTTTTCAAGTCACAATCTGAAAGAAACCATGTTTTAAAAAAAACTTTTTTTAACCTAGATCAGTCATATTTGTATTTTGTGAAATGAATGCTCTCCTTTTCTTTGAGAATTTTGATGAAAAAGAGTTGAGGATAGATGATGTTAATTTATGAAAACTTCGGTTTGGCACATAAATACCAAAGAGACTCTGACTGAATTCTCTCTTGGCCTGTGTGACTGGCCCTCCTAGTTGTCCACTCAGCAGCTGCACCTCTGCGCCCCTGGTTCCAGTCGAGTAATCACTACCCCTCAGCTCTGCCTTTCCTGAGCTTTTCAATGTAATACGCCAGCCTGTGGTTTTCTGCGCTGGCTGTGCCTCTGGTCACACATCCCGTGACTGAAACACCCTCCCCCACCGCCCCCCTCTTGCCAGAATAGCCAAAGCCTGGGCTTTCCCAGCCGGCGGCACCTTCCTTGTTCCCCCAAGGTGAGTCTTTCCCTCGCCAAGGGCAGCTGCCTTAACCTCTGAGAGTCTGCGCTTGGTGTTAGTGCTGTAAACCCACCTTCCAGGCTCTGAACCTCGCTGCTGTAGGGAGCCGGTCCTTGTGAGCTGGCAGCTGTGGTGGGGAAGCCCTGCTGGATCAGACAGACATGAGCAGCCCAAGACAGCCATTGGCAATAACTTACCCTGGTTGACCTCCAGACTAGGGCTGTGGACTGACCCCAGTCTGCCGTTGGCCTTGAAAATCAGAGTTCATGTTCCCCTGGCTGTTGCATTTGACATCCATCCCTGCCTGACCCAACTTCCCTGTGCTTTCCACAGCCATCCTGGGCTGGGTCACAGAGAATGAGACCAAGCCACCAAGGGCCCCTCTTCCCACCCCACGACCCTCACCCCAGCCCTCCTCCATCTGAGATCCCTCCTGTCTTCCCAGGACCCACAGTACCTCCTGGGACCTGAGGCAGCTCCTCAGGAAACACCTGCTGCTCATCAGATTCCCAGGCCTGGCCCTCACCCTGAGTCCCGAGAGCCCTCAGCTGAGTGGCAGCGGGAACTGACGCTTTCTTGCAACGGCCGTAGGACCCCCAGCAGGGTTCACATTTCCACGCCTTTGACTTCGCCTCTGAGTTATTAACGATTGTATTTTTCCACAACCTTTTGGTGACAAGAGTTCAGTTTTCTGCTTGGTCGTTAAATAGCTTAACTCCTCGTAAGTCCCCGTGAGGACTGAAGTTAGGCTGACCGGTGGTCCGCAGCGACCAGGGAGGACTGTGTTTCACTTCTGCCAGGAGAGAAGTCTTGTCCGTTGGTCGGGGCCATGTCTTTACTGTGTAATGTTCCATTTATAGTGACTTGCTCTGGGCCGGTGGGGGGCACTTTCCCAAGTGGTTCCCACGTTGTACAGTAGATGGGTAGACCTTTTGTATATTAGTATGTTTTAAGTTATTGGTTTGTTTTATATAAAGTAATTTATTTTTCAGGTACCATTTTTCATTTTAACTTTGTTTTTACATGGGTTTGTTTTCAATAAAGTGTGACACTGCTGTCCAAAAGCCAACAATAAAATGAATCCCATTGTGTTCTTTGGAGATTGCTTATGTAACTAGCTTTTTTTTTTCTTTTTTCTTTTTTTCTTTCTTTTTTTTGATTTTCAAGGAAAAAAGTCCTCCTCAGTTTTCCATCCTCCCCAGTTTGCCTTTTTATCCTTGTGAATAAATGTTCTTTAGTGTTTTAGGAGGAAAAAGCAAACCTAGATTTTGATAATCCAGAAGACTTCAGATTAATAAAGCTTTGAAAGAAGACCATTTTTCAAAATTTTAGTGAAGTGAATATTTTTTGTCAATGGCTTTCTCAAAGAGAATGAAACTTTTGCACCATTTTCAGAGTTTTTATAGAGATGCCAAATTGATATATTTACATGTAATGAAAACATGAAAAAGTTTTATTAAACAATTGTTCATAGCTGTGTAGACATTTTAATTCAGTTTCCAAAGCTCTCAGAGTGTATTTTTGGAGTACGGAGTGCTCACGGTGTGGGGCCTTACGATTCCAAAACAATGCGATTGTCCGAATACATAGTCCTTCCCGCAGGTATCAGGTTTGTGTTAATCTCTGTATGTTAACTATGACTGGAATTCTGTGATATTTTGGTAATAAATGAAGTGGGATCGTGGAGACGTGGTGGTGTGGGGGTGACGGTGTGTGCCTTGTAAAGCAGCCATCGCCGAGTGAAGCGCCAGCGATGGCTGCCGGTGACTCCCTGCTTCCTAGGTCAGAGGAGGCTGCCCTTCACCTGGCTCTGTGCTCGGGGAGGCAGGGAGCCCTCGGGACAGCCAGCCCAAGGGATGACTCTAGGATGTGTCCTGTGCCCAGCTCCCCTGCCACACACCACCCTCTGCCTAGATGCCACCCC